CCCCAAAACCCCAAAACCCCAAAACCCCAAAACCCCAATTGGGGGTATTGGAAGGTGTATTTTTAGAAAATGATTATTTTGAAGTTTGGAGTGAGAATTAGGATGTTTAGAGGAATTTTAAGAGGTTGGAAATTGATTTTAGGTGTAGGGTGGGATTTTAGGAATTAGGTAATGCTTACTGGGGTGCTGTCTTCTGGATTGTTGGAAGGGTTGATAGATTGGAGAAGAGAGGTTTGAGTTTTTGATATTATGTTGACTGGATTTTTTAATGAATCAAGTTCAAGGTCTTCTTCTCAGATAATTTTATCACGTACCTTATCTATCTCATCTTTGTTAGTAATCTCTCCTTTTTATTATGCTTATATTCATATTTAGATCCTTTTTTTTGCCAAAAACACTGAATCCATAAAGTTTGGTTGAAAATTCTTTGCAAGCTGGAAAATCTTTGAACATATCAGGGAAGAATTGAATAAAAGATTGAGGGAAGGAGACTCCAAAATAAGTCCCATCTAAATCTCATGAAGATCCTCTTGGCCAATATCAGTCTTGGCATCTTGGGCAATAAACTTTCACTCTGGATACGTTTAGCTCTTCAATTTTTGCTATTGGGAGTACGTATTGTCTTTCTCATAAAATCCTTGGACAGATACCAAACTCTCCTAATGTATATTTCTCCCTCATCAGACTTGCTCCCCTCAGAGTGAGGATGAATCTAGCATGGATTAGCCCGTACAAGTCAACAGCTTGTTGGTAGACTTCAAGGAATCTAAATTATAAAAGAATGACCCCTACTCTTCTTGATTGAACTCTTCTTCCTCAGGGGGATCTTCTCTTAGGATCATCCTAATTGCTTCTCTATACAAATTACTAACAATTTCTTACTGATATCTAGTGAACTTTGGCTTAAGCCCATAGAGATTGAACTGGTCACGGATGTACTCTTCATCGATCTATAATTCACCATCTTTGCTTACCTCTCAGAAGAATTCATGGCCCTCTCGGTCACAGAACCATTGGATCCATGTCTGGGACTCCACACTGGAGTCATCGTCGATTGTCTCCATCTTTGTATTTCAATTATGTGCTCTTTTATTGGGGTTTTGGGGTTTTGGGGTTTTGGGGTTTTGGGG